TTTCCAAAAAAAAAAAAAACCAAAAATTTTGGGGCCCCCCAAAAAAATTTTTTTTTTTTTAAAAAAAAAAAAAAAAAAAAAAAAAAAAATTGATCAAATGAACTGCTCCTGTTCTGTTAGAGACTGTTTCCGATGTTCTTTGAAGGAGGTGGTGCACATCGTGGTATGAGAGCTTCTCTTTCTTGACAAGTTATCTTATGGAATAGCTTTCATTTCTCAGAACAAGATTAGACTGACAAGTTTACATAGAAAGATTATAGATTATAATCGAATGCACAAATGCTGATGCTCCAGATACTCAACCAGCTAAACAAAGATCGATTTTATTGCTTCTGTTGTTTAGTACAAACGTTTCCAGCTATGCTAACATCACTGAACAACCTTTTCCAAATGATCAAATAGCATTTTAGCATGGTGCATTTTGATTGGCTAACAGAATGTACGCAGTAGCGATGGTACTGTGTGGATTAATGTTTCCCAATAAAAAACAGCCTCCTCCTGCTTTTGACAGTCATTTATCACATTAATAATGCCCAGACTGTATTTTTAAATAATGTAATCTAATGTTATTTTAACTGAAGAAAATTGTGTTTTTTTATCAAAAAAAGGAGGTTTCAAAGTGAACCAAACTTTTGAGCAGTAGTGTAACTCAAATTAGACACAAGCCAAATTATTATTATATTTTTTTTATTTGGAAAAGTGCTTCACATTTTTACCCTTTTTTTTTCTCCCCAAAACTTTATTTTCAATTATACAGAATGCCGTTTACACTCTCTCAGCATTTGGAAAATACTGAACAGAGAGGGGAATGCTAAAGGAAGCTACTGTCAAAAGAACTGACATATGTATTGCACTGACTGTATTAAGTGCAATTTTTTCTAAATATAATACTTGGCCTCATTGTAAAAACAGCAAATCGTGGCTTCCTGTCAGAGTATTTGCAACAGTGAGTATGACATTTTTCCAGTATTAGTAAATTATGTCTTAGGTACTCAGAATGATGTGTTTTCCATAGAATACAGAAATGTGGGTTTAATAAAAAAAAAACAAACTTAAATGTTATCCTCTAAAAGTACTTTAAATCTGAAAAATGAGCCTCATCAGAAAGCATATTCTAATTTATCGAATTTTACTGTCGACCTTGTCTACCTCGCAAATGCACAATGAGCTGTGGACGGTGTGTCTTTGAAAATCTACCTAATCTGTTTCCTTTTCATGGGGCAAAAAAATATTTTCTAGATTGTGGTGCTAGATGCGTACTTTCCCAAATCTGTCAATCTGAATGACGTGCTCGAGAAAACACCAACAAATTCTCCATCCTGTCTCACGTTGAGGTGTGTCCTGGTCAGAAACCGGCCAAGATCCCATTAACCACAGATGTAAAACAAGAGGCTTACCTCTTTGGTCCTGCTGAGTCCCATCCACATTTTCAGTCGTCTGACAAACAGCTCCACCATCTCGTAGTCTTGGAGATCCACGGCGGGGCGGTACAGCTCTGCTCGGGCGCGCCGGTAGTTCCTCAGCAGCACAGAGACGATCAACCACAGGAAAACCAGCCGGAGGACGGCGAAGGTCGCGTGGAACGTCAGGGAGGAGATGGTGTTCGAGGGACCGGTCATCGTCGAGGCAGGGAGCCACGATAAGAGGCCCCTTCCCCCGGCTCCCAGCAACGACAGACAGGCGGCGCTCACGCTGCCGTAGCTGTCCAGCACAGAGTGGAAGAGCTGCAGGGGGAGTCAAAACAATCCAAAATAAATGTTACGCAAAAGTTAAAAGCTGCATCAGAAGATGAGCAAATCATGGGCGAGGGGATATCTGACCAGGTGTCCTGCATGGGAGTAAGCCAGGAGCAGCAGCAGCAGAGCCGACACCACTCCCAGGAGCTCCCAGGCCGAGCGCCGCAGAGCTCTGCCGAACACCGCCCACTCCCGGAGGAAACGCAACTGGTGCGACGCCTGAGTGCCCAACAGGGGAGGAAATACAGGATTCAATAAATATGAACAAAGGGAAAATGCTTCACATGCACTTTAGTTAATTTCCCTCATTAGAGCAACTCCAATAAGCACCAAATAAACGTTAATGGGACTCAGGTTTGATGCGTTCACTGACAGTAAATTGATTACATTTTGTTTCTGATTAGTTAATGCATCCAGCCTGATTTCTCTTTGCATCTCTGGTAAAAAAAAGAAGAAAAATCTCCAAATCTCACCAAGAACTACAGCAACGTTTACGCTTATGCAATAAAATATGGATTTATTTCCTGAATTATTACACATACGCACAGCAAACGCCAATAAGTGTTTTATAAATATCTTTTTTTAAATTTGATTTTCACCCTAAACCTTTTTGCAGCTGAATGTTGTTTTCTCTTCTCTGCCTCTCAGCGTTTCACACAATTTACTGATCCTTTTAAACAACCAAGCAACACGAGTGTTCAACATTTCATTTTTTTTTTTTCCTGCGTTACCTTCAGCACCAGAATGAACAGCAGCATGGCAGACATGACGGTGTACAGCTGACTCTGCCTGGCCAGCGGGTAGAAGTCCGTGAAGGCGTCGCGGCGTCGCTTCAGGAACAACGTCCACTGCTGCCTGGCCATGACGGAGCGGCTCAGATGGAGGCCGCACACAGACGCCGCCAGACACAGTTTGCATACGCCCAGCGCTCTCCACGACGACAACAGGTACGTGTAGCCCTCCCTGAGGAGCCCCAGGATCCCTCGCGCCAGGAAGTACAAGATGAGGCAGAGGAGGACCAACTGGAAACCGCAGACAAGACGCAGAGGTCAGAGAAGCGGAGGGAAAAGGTTTCGGTCACGTCTCGCTGCCTGAGTGAGGCGAATTTACCGTGAGAAGAAGCTGGAGGTCCAGGCCTGCGATCGGCCACAGAGTGAGGACACTGAGCTCCAGGCTGGACTGAGCGCGCTCAGAAACTGGGAACTCAAACAGAAACCTGAAAACAGCCAGCAGGTTGGTGTTGACGTTGTAGAGGGAGAACTCCACGCACACGGCTCGAGTCCTGCAAACACACACACACACATACCAGATTGACGTATTCAGCACGTTTCACTTACCGTTTTTTTTTTTTTTTTAAAAAGTGCTTGTGTCAAAAGTTTTATTACATAAGAAATGTTCAAAAAGCAGAAAGGTTGAAGTTAAGTTAATCACCTTTAATTGTCTCCATTGTGAACATTAGGGACCTAAAACAAAAGCTGTCCCAACTAAATGAAAGACCACACTGAATCCATCTTTATTTTATAATAAAATCCCAAACAAATGTGTCAGAGCCTTTGGTTGTGACATGTCAAAATGTGAAAAGTTTGAATTAGTACGAATACTTTTGTGAGATGTTTTACATATTTGTGCAGCGGAGGACACATTTCTCCATTTCAAACCAAATCTCCAGATTTTCCTGCAGTCCCGTTGTTACCTGTGGTCGATCCAGTGCAGCTGCTGCAGCTGCTGCAGGAAGGAAGAGGCCTCCTGCAGGCTTCTGTTAAAGTGGAGAAGCACATTTCTGCTGTCGGACTCCTCCATCCGAGCCCTTGGAAAGTAAGCGAAAGAACACAGTGAAGATTACTTGGAAACAAAAAAACAAAAAGAAAAATTACATTTCTTTCATATTCTTGAAAGAAACTGTTGCCATCCAAACCGTATAAAGCCGAGAACAATCAGTCGTGTTGCCAATGTTTTTCTTACCAGTCCATGTGGATCGCACCAGTGACCGTGTCATTCTCTGCGCCTCTGGTCGGGGATGTGACCAAGGGAGGTGATCGTTGTCTTGGCCTGAAACCACCTGCAGGCGGAGGAAAAATGTGAAATATGAGCAAAAACAACAATCTGATCAGCATCTTTAACTTCCATCGGTTCTACAGAATAAGACCTGCATGTTGAGCTATCGACTGGATAAGAAAAAAAAGACTTGAAAATATATTTTTCGGTCGCATTTTCATCAATACAGACGAACAGTCAAATAGTTTGAGAAAGAGAGAGAGAGATGGATGGTTTTACAGAGACGCTTATTGGGATTCTTGGTAAAGTACTTAGAGCATATTTATGCTTTTTAAAAGCTGCTTGAATTAATTTACTTAGACAAAAGAATCGATCTAATCTGCTTAAGCAGTGATAGTTTCCAGACCACTCAGGTCCAGAACGCCACACATTTCCAGAAAACTGCAAAGAGGCTGAAACACTGAGCTCCTTTAAATCAAGGCTAAAAACCCACTTGTTTAGAGTTGGTTTTGATTACTAATAACTGGAACACAGATCAACATATCTGATGTGTATTTGCTTGATGATAACAGTGATGGCATTTGACAAAATGTCTATTACTTGTTTCATAATTGGTATGATGTTTTTATGATGTAAATCACTTTGAGCTGCCTTGTTATACAAATAAACTAGACGTAATAAAATGCTTTATGCCTAACGTGCAGACTTAACTCACGGGAACTGTAGATGGTCTTAAAAGCAAAAAAAAAAAAAATAAATAAATAAATAAATAAACAAAATAAAAAGCATCTCTTCTACAAATGAACTACTGTCAGCGAGGAGCTGTGACTCATTGGTGGGTTAAAGGTCAAAGTTCACGATGGAGCCAACTCACCCTGTATGTCCCGGGTTTGTCGGAGCCTCGGGGAGCCGAGCAGCAGGCTTCCCGTGTCTCTGAGGAGAGACGACTCGTCCAGCAGCCGAGGCAGCAGAGATCCATTAAGCCAGGTCAGGACGTCGTCTCGTCTGAAAGACAAAGAAACAAATTCGTCACCCGAACAAAGGAGACGTACAAAAGAGACATTAGAGCGGGCAGGGAAAAGCAAATTAGCTTTTATTGATGAACCTTGCTCTCTTTTGTTCATTTCAAGCTCACAAAAATGTCTCAAAAAACAAAAAAACAAATGACTTCCCCTCACTTGACAGATCAGCCAAAAGGGACTGAAAAAAAAAAATCAACAGCAGGATACAGTTTTAAAACCTCGACTCCACTGTGTGAGCAGCACCTGCTGATGGTGTGGTACTCTGGAGTGTGCAGGGCTTGCTGCAGCTGAGTCCGCAGTCTCAAGCTGTGCGTGTGTTTAGCCGAGTCGGAGTAGTTCAGAAGCAGGACGACCAGCAGGAAAAACATGTAAACCAGAAAATTCTGCAAAAGAAAACAAACGGAAACAATCATTTCTGTTAAGTCAACAAAGCAAAGAATTGAATGCCTCCAGCTTAAGAGTCTCTGTTTCTCACTGACCTTTAGCATGGTGTGCAGCATGTGGACCTTGCGGGCCTGGTGCCGGGCCTGAGACAGAGCGAAGCCCTGCGGCGGTCTCACCCTGGCGACCCGCTGCACCACTCGCTCCTCCCGTGGGAAGTCCACCAGCACGTCGCTGTCCTCCGGACGCAGCCGGCGCACACACACGGCGAAGTAGACGGCCTCACACAGCACCTGCGAGCAGAGGGCAGCTGTTAGGTCTGCAAACGTTGGACCTGCACCCGACAAGACGCCTGACTCTGATAAACTGAAAAACCATACTGGAGATCTTATCATTTTAAAATAAACACAGACTGGAGCATATTTAGCCAAAACAAACATCACGTAAGTGCAAGAAACATAAAGAGAAGTAATTTGAATACAAGTTATCGATGAATGAGTTAATCTAAAGTTAACTGATCTCATCAATTGACTAACAACGTATTGACAAGCAAATGTTTTCTTAAAAATCCGAGTTTTCTCTTGTGTCAAGAGGGCTGAACGTCTTTCCACAACATAGCATAGCTGACATTATTTTGTCAGTTACTGACTGAATAAACATTACTAAACTTCAACATATTTGTAAAATGCAGCAAGACAGGAAACTCTTGGGTTATGGAATAGAGAAATAAAAAATGAAAAGAATAAAATATGTGAAACACATAATCCCCCATGAACAGAGATAGTCAAACAAAAGTACCGTCTGCGGTTGAAGCAATATCAAACCTTTGCTCCACGAAGTGAATTAACTCACGAAAGCCCTCAAAATCAAGCCTGTCACATCATTTCTTTTTCCAGCCTGTTACAGTTTTTTTGCTTTATGCTCTCCGCTTTTCTGTCATCACATCCTGAAGTTGACGCTGCTCCGTCATGAAGCTCAGCTGAATGAGCGCCATTAAGGTGACGACTTAAGGAGTGTGTCGAGTGTTTATATTCCAAAACAGAACCACATAAAGTCATCTCTTTCCTGTTTTTGGGCCTGCCGCCATCTTTATTTCTGTATCAACTGGATCGGCTTCAAGATGACCAACTGTGCCCTCTGCTGATTGGCAAAATCACGACAACGCTAAAAGAGTCTAAACAAACATTATCAATCAATTCAAACTCATTTTAATCTAATAAACCCTTAACTGATAATTAATTGTTTGCATTCCTATTATGAACTGATGAAAGTGTAAATCGTGATGAAATTAGAAATTAGTCTGGCTGTGGATCATGTACCGCCATCACCAAGGATAAGAGTTTGGGTGTGTTTACCTTAATTGGCTCCAGCAGCAGACAGGAGCACAAGAAACTGGCGAAGCAGGAGATTAACCACATCATGGCCACCTTTTCACTGAACCCATGGCCCGCCCAAATGGAAACGCAGCTGGCCAGAGCGATTCCTGCCCAGCTGCCCCACAGCGCCACCTGTCCACACCAGGGAGGGAACCGCCGGGGGCGACACACATCCGTCACAACTGGAGCCACAGAAACGGGAATCAATGGTTAAAACACAGCAAGAAATCTGAAAAACTACAGTGCCTTGAGAAAATGCTCGTACAACTTGACCTTTTAGAGATTTTCTGGGAGATGATGTAGCTAGACACTGCTAGCAATCGTATTAACACTTAACATAAAATCAGAGCTTTCCCTTGAAAGCTGATATTTGTTTTGACTGAGTCTTTTAGAAAAGTAATGAATATGGAGAACGTTACGTTTTGTGGTGCTAGACAAAGGTACCAGGCCCCTGGTGGGCAGGGATCCAGTTTGAAAATAATTGATTCACATGGGGAAAAAAAAAAAGAACGTTTCTGTGACCTTTAAAGTCCGACTCTGAAGATTACCGAACCACGTCGATTCAGCCTGGCCTTTAAGAAGTTGCATAATGAGCTGCAGAGAGACTTTCTTGTCTTTTTCAGCAATGTAAAGTTGACCTAACTCATCTGAAAATCTCAGTAACAAGAAAAATACACCTGACTATTAACTGCTCTCTGTTGACATAGAAATCCATTATAATGCTAACAGAAAACAGGATATTTTTCCTCAGTATTTCTCAAACTTTTTTTCTTTATGTTTTTAAGATAAGATTATAAGTGTATGTAATGATGTCTCACTTTTGCCAACATTAATTCTTCAGATTCTGGTTTAACCAGACCAGCATGTAAATCAATTTGCTACATATTTAGCATTCAGTCAGTACATCGCCTTGGAAAAATCTTCTTACTTCTTCAACTTTTTCATGTTTTTTCACAACCAAAATTACTTCACTGTTTGTATAGAGATATTTGGTGATAAAGTACCGTATTTTCCACACTATAAGCTGCACCGGATTATAAGGCGCATAGAATAGACGCTACAGTAGAGGCTGGAGTTACGTTATGCATCCACTAGATGGAGCTGCAGTAAACAGAATATCAACAAAACAGTCCGACTCCTGTCAGCGAGGAGAGCCTTCCTCGACTGGGCCGGGGCGTGGCCGGACGATGGTCACCCTTCTCCGTTCGTGCACAGCATGTTCATGGAGAACGTGGTGCTAAATGACCTGCAGACGACCTGATTCTAGACGGTCGGTAGGTAGATAGGTCAGTCAAACTTTATTAACAAACCAGCGTTCTGACAACTATCCCAGCATGCACCGCGCGCTTCTTCTTCTACGGGCAAAAATGAAGTCGGTGGCTGCTTACTGTAGTTGCTAGACTTGTGGCTCAATATTGCTCCATATATAAGGCGCACCGGATTATAAGGCGCACTGTCGGCTTTTGAGGAAATTGAAGGTTTTTAGGTACGCTTTATAGTGTGGAAAATACGGTAACACAAATTAGTGCATAAGTATGACACATTGTTTCCAATTGTTTTTTTTTTGTTTTGTTTTGTTTTGTTTTACAATAGAAATCAAATATATGTTACTGGAAGGTGTCTCAACTTTCAGAAAAAGTGCAGTAATGTATTGCACTAAATTTTCATAGTAAACAGCCGGATACAAATAAAATAATTGATTTTTCCATTTAATCACTTAAAGCTTTTTTTTAAAGACAATATTTAAAACGCATTAAAAGAGGCAAATAAACAAATAATTCAATTCCTTTTTTAAACATCAAAATAAACACTTTACTGCCAAAGACACAACAGCATAGCATTCCTTTAGTATTTGCTTGATCATTTGTAGATTAAATGACACATTTTTGTGCCTTTTGGATGTCAAAAGGTGCTTAATAGGAGATTTTTATTTATTTATTTTTACCAAATTTGAACCAGGTGAAGCTAACACTATGCCATTTGAAGAGTTCTGGGTAGATGATATTTACAGACAATTATTTTTTATCTTAAATTCAAATATTGCAAGTATTTCTTGTAAAGCTCAGGCTTAATTAACTCTTGAATGTGTTCTTCAGCAAACAGCCTTTAATTTCAATGATCAATTAATAATTAATCAGATTAATCATGATAAATAACAATTAATCACGATCAGGGGCACCGTAAGGGGGGAAAGTTAGGACAATTACAAGGGCCCCTGACCAACA